TATCGAAGTGCGACCTTGAGCTCGAATATATGTCGAAGGAAAGGTAACTTCTACACTTTACCGGATACTAGCTACCGCTCTAGTATACCCACCGGCTTACTGACCGTTACGCGTCCGAATTTGGTACCCTTCTATCCGAGCAGTGAGGGCGGAGACCACCCTACAGCTTGCTTGGTGTCACCTCCATTCTGGCGACATGACTACTCTCTACGACTTTTACGCCGTATGGCTGAAATAGGATTGGGTCAGCTATTGTATCCGCTGACTGAGCCGCTGCACAGCCCGGCATCAGTCTCCAGTCAAACAAAAGCGTCTTGTTGCTCTAGAGCAGATGTAAATTGGCAAAAGCGCTTCAAATCCCAGATTCAAGAGAGTGAAATTGCGACGGGGCTTTTAGATGCCCATGTTGAACATAGGCTGCGTTTACAGTCTCTTGAAGATGTTAAAAAGAGAAACTAATCGCTTTTGTAACGCACTTGAGCTTGTCCAATGTCGTATATCAGTAATGTTGTTGACTGCAGACACTACATGTGTATATGCCTTGATGGCGGTTGATAAAGTATTACCTACATTATAATGTTTGCTTTGCTTGTTTACGACATCGTGCTATTAAAAGTCTGGCTTCAGGGCATGACGTCGCACACTCAATTTCATTGTGATAAATTTCATCACTTTAGTAAGAAATGTTGCCAGGTTATTTTTAGTGCTTTGATTTAGTCAAAAGATTTAGTGGTCAAAGCCAATCTGTGGTGATGTCAAATTCATCTGAGAGTTCAATTCATTTATAAAAAATGCGGGAAAGCATGTAGCGGAATTGCTTTATACCACATAAGCGCGATGAATAGGAGTAAATCTTTTGAGCACCGCAGTCATCTCAAACAAGTGCTATGACAATTCACCTGCAATTAACGCGTTCCAATTGATAATCTGTATGTGATTGTGCAGCCGCTGACATGTCCAGTCTGCCACATTTTACGTTAGGCAAACTACATTGTAAGGAAATGATCTCGATTTGATACGATGACTACCGACAAACTACTGTCGAAACATTGTCGAGGACTAGTATGGCTGTATCTTCAGCGGTTACGCTGACGTTCTGCCGGAAACGGCATGCGGGCAAATAGTGCCGACTCATGCGGCAAAGATTTAAACCGTAAACAATTGTCCACGTGCGCACACAAGTGCTTATCCACTTATAGATGTTTGGAGACGAGCATAGAGCTCACGGACGAGTATGTCCTATCTCCTACGTGGTGGCAAACCCGAGGGGTATCTATTTTACATATTGTACTCTGCACTCAAGGTCCTACATCTCTGCGCTTAATATATATGATTTTTTGCTCAAATACAGCAAGCCGTAGGAAAAACATAGAGGTGCATGTGTGAAACCGCACACTTTCATAATCCATTACAAACATTTGATTCATCGAAATCCTTAATTTTGAGACATTTAGAAACGCTTTATTCCTTTCGATATAATAGAAGAGAAGAGATAAGAAGAGATGAGATGAGATGAGATGAGATGAGATGAGATGAGATGAGATGAGATGAGATGAGACAAAAAAATGCTTAAACCAAACTTCTTCTCCAATGTTGTTCGTTTTGCAAATATCCCCTGAAAAATCTTTAGGCTTTTACGGGGGGAGGGGTACTTGAGAAGAGCTTTCAGCCATAGTGACTACTCTGTTTATCCGCTCATATTGAAGTATTTTTCGACTCAATACTGTGATTTTCTACTGCTCTGCACGGCGGGTGTGGCAAACAGTAGTTCTGGTTCATTACTATCGTCACATCGTGAACACGGATGCAGCATGCCACGGTCAGGCCGTTCTAATTGCGACTTTTGGTCGAATGTCTTCAGCTGCACTACTGTCTTTCTTATGATTCACAGCTGAAATGACGTCTACTTACAAATTTTGCTTTACGAATCACCAGAGATAAACTCTTCGATCCATGATTTACCATCGCTCGCTCCTGCATTCGCGGAGGTATACTCTGGGGCCACGCTTTCCGAGCTCAGCTTAGCGTACTCAGCAACACAGTTTCTTACAATGAGAAAAGCTCTTTACCAGCATCGAAAAGACCATACCTTCGTGCCCGCGCCGAAAGCGCAATTACAACTCGCAGAGTTGGGTTCATGACGTAAAAAAGCTCCACTCGAGATAAAGTATGGGGCACCTGTTCCAGTGGATCTGTGACTTGTTTCTTTCCAGTCACACCGTATCAATAAATGGATTCTAGCTCAAATCCCGGGTTCAGAGGCAACACACCACGCTGTCAAAGCTTAGAAGTTTCCACGGTACGATTCAAAAGAACAATTAGTATGTCCTGTCACATGACGCATGAAAACGGAGTCCGTATTCTGCATATTGTGCACTGTCCTCTGCTTTTAACAGTGATGTGTCGTAATTGATTGCGCAGCGCTCTTACATCTACAAGCGTTGTTTACCGCTCACACATTGAAACATGAATAACACTGGGATTGGCGCCCCGCCTCTCTTAAAGTAAGCCACGGTTTTTGAGGTTGTGTCACTTTGACCATCATCTCCACGAGGTACAATATGAGCTGTTTTTTACCTGGAAGGTCACTCTGAGCAAAAAATGTAGTCGACAGATAACCCTAGCAGACAAGAACTTGAAGCGCAATCGATACGTCTGATTTTGCGGGCAAGCACCCGCGGTATAGCTGCTTTGGATCTCTTCATTTGGGGATTCCTCTTCTGCAATGGTACTGCACGTACGTTTCTTTCATGCAAAAACCGCCTTGCATAGAGACCGCCAGCGCAACGTGCTGCTGCCCCGTTCAGATGATCGCCTTCAAGCAAGCAATGTCCTTGCGCCTTGGTCGCCAGTTTTCTGATTGTTTCAGGATAACTAATAGACATGAGCTTACTGAGCGTGCCGGGTTGTCCCGTACACAGGCAATCGGGCAGCTCGTGTTCCTTTTTCACAGATGATACGGCTCGGTCAGATTAAAGACAAGTGCAAGTGCTATCAAGTGCTACTCAGTGCTCTTAGCGCTACGGTGATATCGTACACTAACGATTTGACTCAAAACATCCGCTGCAACTAACGTGCAAAGGATTGGCTTGCACGCTTCATCCAGTAGCGGAACTCAGAGCTTTTAATGTAACAGATCATTTTGCTTACTTTCTAATCAGTATATTCAAACTGATACTTGATATTTCTGCATTTCCATATTTAATGAAAAGCTACTATATGTAATGTCTGACATGGCTGGTAGCCCATGTGTCCCACAGAACTCTCGTTCAGTTGGTGAGGAGTATATCTGATATCAAATTACACATAAGTGTAATGTATACGTACACACTAATTCTTTATCACCTTCTTTTCGCTTTAAGTCCGCAGTAATTGATACGTACAAATCATACTTGCGTATAGTAGCTGTCTAATTGTATCACTGTATCACATACCGGTTTTACTGTCTCGGTATAGGACAGGCCTCTTCAAATTAGTCAATCTATTTATAGATAACCAATTTAACTAATTTCA